TTGCTTTCCCTTCTCTTTATGATCTTCCCAGTGCTCCTCCGCCTTCTCCTCCTGCTCTCATGGTCCTCCCGTGCTCATCCTTTTACTGTTCGTCTTTCCAGGGGGCACTCCTGGAACTAACACTGGGGGCGTGTAGGGTCTTATGCGTGGGGGGCAGTTTTTTTTGTGCATCCTGGGTTTTTCTCTGGTCCTCTTGCTCCTCCCACTCGCTTCTCCTCCTCCTGCTCCTACTCATGGTGCTCCTCCTGCTCCTCATTTTGCTCGGCGGCCGCGTACGCAACATCGCGGCGAAGTCGTCGCGCGCACCCGGAGGATTCAGCACGACAATGAAAGCGGCCTCGATGGGACATGCCCCAGAGATGGCCTCACCCGCCCGCGGAGAATCGCCTGCTGCTGCTTCTCCTCCTCGTCCTCGGCCTCCGTCTGTCGCCACAGACAAGCCTTCCACGGTCCCCAGGCGTGTCCGCGGCCCCATTGCGGTGTGTGTGTGTGTGTGTGTGCCTCCCCCGAAGGCCAGAGGTCACATCTGGAAAGCCCTCGCCAGGCCCAGCGGCACGGCGCGATCGCACGGACAACGTGGCAGGCCAGGAAGTGGCGAGCGCTGCCTTCGGCAGTGTTTGGCCCAGTGGGCGGCGCCGCAGGTCGACGCTCTGCTGCGCTGGCCAGAGCCTTTTTCTTGTTTGCCTTTGGAGCTCGCGGCGCGACCGCGTGCGGACGCGCTTGAGATGCCATCCGCACGGCATGAGGTGGGACCAGGCGAGTGTGCGCGCCGATTCCTGCGCCCGCAGGGGGTCGGCCTGGTCGTGGTCGATGTCGGCGTGCAGTTGCCGTCGCGCTCGCCGGTCGGGGTCTCGCTCTGCCGCCGCCAGCCTTTGCCGCGGCCGTGTGCTGGGCGCAATTTGTGCCAGCGCGCCCCGTGCATGCTTGGCCCCCGACAGTGGTGCCACTTCGCCAGCGGACGGATGTGCGCTTGGCATCCTCGTACTCCTCCCCCCGCCGAGCGCACCAGCGCGGTGGCAGATCGGCAAGGGAACCTCGCTGCGTCGCGCCCTCGTCGGCGCAGGCGTGGGCGTCGGCGTCGCCTTCTTCTTGCTGCTGCTGCTGCTCATCCTCGTCCCCCGTTTCCCTCTCCTCCTCCTCCTGCTCCTCACCCGCCTCCCCCTCTTCTCCCTTCTCCCCCTGCTTCCCCGCCTCCCCCTCCTCCTTATTTCTCCCTCGCTCCCCCTCGTCTTCGTCCACCCGCCTCGTCATCTCTTGCGAAGAAGGCGGATGGAGGGGGACAAAAATGGACATGAGTAACTTAGTGGCTGGACGCAGGGCGAAGGTGGATAAGCAGGAGGGTTATGAACACGATGATGATGATGATGATGATGATGATGATGATGATGATGATGATGATGATGATGATGACGATGATGATGATGATGATGATGATGATGATGATGATGATGATGATGATGATGATGATGAGATGATGATGATGATGATGATGATGATGATGATGCTGATGATGCTGATGATGATGATGATGATGATGATGATGATGATGATGATGATGATGATGGTGATGATGATGATGATGATGATGGTGATGGTGATGACGATGATGATAAGGAGTTGAAACACACATGATACTATTACTAATACGGATCATAGGAGTAATTATACGATGATATAGTAATGCGTATTTCCAATCTGAGTATTAATAAGAAGTGTACGGCACATCACAACATTATTAGTTTTCCTGGGACGACGAATACAACTAATAATAGTAACACTACTACAAACAATAATAAAAATACACACGCTATCAATAAGCATCCACTTGTTTAAATTAAGACGAATGATATTAATGATTTGGGGAATGATACGAATCTCATCAACATTATTGTAGTGGTTTCCGGCCAGTGCCGCCGATCCAGGGCGCTTCCGTTGCTGCCGGAAGCGCGCGATGGCGGTCATGACCGTCGACGACGGCGAGCGGTGAGGATGATGAGGAGGAGTGGGGATGGATTCAACGGAGTAGGATGATGATGACGATGATGCTGATTATGATGCTGATGCTGATGATGATGATGATGATGATGCTGATGATGATGATGACGATGTGGTGGAGGAGGAGGAGGGGGAGGATGATGATGAGGAGGAGGAGGGAGGGGGCGACATGGAGGAGGAGGATGATCATGATGAGGTGGAAGGGGGGTGGGGGGGAGGGGCAAGAGTAGCAGGATGCTGAGGATGAGGAGGAGCAGGAGGAAGCGGGAAGTGGACGAGGGGGAGGGGGAGAAGGAGGCGCATGACGAGGATGAGGGAATTTTCGGCGGTTGTTGGAGATGTTCGGCGTTAGTTGGAACACTTTTTTGGGGGCCAGGTGTTGGCCGTTTTCGGGTTGACACCTCGCCGATTTGGCGCGCTCTCGGAAAAACTTTGTGCTAGAACTGTGTGCGTCGCGGTTCGTTGTGGAGCCCTGTGCATCACCGGTCTCTGCTGGGAACCATGTTGTTTCTGGGGTCTTTGGGGCCTTCGCGCGGTCCTCTGCGGGCCCTTGTGAGATCATGGATGTGAGGGGCGCCGAAGACGGGATAATATGTGGAAACGTGGGAAAATCTTTTGTATTGCAGCGCTTATGTTCAGACGTAGGCGTCGTGGGAGCATTGGGGCCGGTTTTGGGCATCTCGGTGGGAGTCTCGAAGGCAGTTCGGAAGCTTTTAGAAAGCGTCTTGGATGCATTTTTTGGGACCCGTTCGGTCTTTAAGGGGGCTTCAGGGGGCCTCTTCTTGGCCAGTTGGAAACGTCTCACGTCTCGGGGCGTCTTCAGGCTTCTTGGGGGCCTCTGGGGGCCTGCTGGGGGCTTTTTGGGCCGTCTTCGGCAGTTCTTCCGCTGTCTTGGCGCCCTCCCAGGCGCCTCTTGGGCCCGTCCTGGGGCCCTCTTGGGCCTTCCCGGGGGCCTCCTGGGCCATCTTGGGCCCTTCCTGGGCCGTCTTGGAGCCGTCTTGGCGGCTTCTGGGGCCGTTTTGGGGCTCTTTTGGGGCGTCAGCGACGCTCTGAAGGCCCAAGAGGCGAATGTGCTAAACTTGTACGTTCTCCGTGGGAATTGGACACTTTTTGTCTCTTTAGGCCTTCGATGGGAGGCCTTTTCAGGGCTTCTAAGGGCATCGTGGAGGCTTTTGGAGTCGTCTTGAGGACATTTCGGGCGTCTTGTAGCGATCGTTCGGCGACTCGGGGGCGCCCTGGCCCATGTTAGGGCCCTCCTGGGCGAGGGGGCCGTCCCGGAGCGAGCTGGAGCGATTCCACCCCGAGAATTAAATCGACCCCCTCCCCCTCTCCTTACCCCGGCAAAGCCACCCCGGCACCCCCCCCCAGTAGAGCTGAAGTTCAGGAATTGAGGCTCACGCTGTTTTGAGGGTCTTTCAAACTCACGCGCCGGATCTGTGGACTACTACTAAGAATAGCATCGATAATTTAATTCATAATACTGATACGAGGAGTACTAATACCACTACCAATAATACTGATCATGCTGCGACGAATAGCAATAATACGATTGAGACGAATAGTAACAACAGTCATAAGAAGACATATACACATACTAAGAAGCACACTAACAATATCAATACTAACGTTAGCACTGTTCACAATATGAAAGACATACTAATAATACGATTACGACTGCCAAATCGGAGTATACATAAGGCCAAGAGGAGGATGATGATGATGAGGGGGAGGAGGAAAATAAGGAGGATGATGATGAGGAGGAAAAGGATGCGGAGAGGAGGGAGTTTTAGGAGCAGGATTAGGATCAGCAGGATACGGAAAGAACATGAGGAGTAAGAGGCAGAGGAGGGAGGAGCAGGAGGAAGAGGAGGAAAAGGCAAGAGGAAAGGGAGGAGGATGGGGGATGAGGAAGGAGGGAGAGGACGAAATGGTGGAGGAGGAGGAGGGGGAGGACGACTGCTGTGACCCTATCATGAAACGTCGCAGCGTCATTGATCCTCGAATGCCCGCAGAGGGCCCCAGGCGGCTCCCAGGAGGCGCGGAAGCCATTCCGCCACTCTCGGGTGGAGCCGCCGCGCGTTTTCGGACGGACCAGGCCGGGATGCGGTGCCCTGGGGCCTTCGAAGCAGCTCGGGTGGGTCTCCTGGGCCGCCCGCAGGAGTCCCGAAGACTTTGCGCTTCTCGCTGCGCGGCCGGGCCTGCGAGCTGCTGTTCCCCAGGACGGCCGCGCGAGAGCGCAAAGACGGCTGCGCCTCGCGAAGCGCGAAGTGCGCTCGAAGACGCTGTGACGTACAGTCAAGGCGCTGAACAAAAAGGACCGCTCTGGGCTCGGGAGGGACTCGGTTTTTCGGGCTGCTCCGGGGGTTTATTCAGGAGGGAAAGAAACACACAGACGCAATGAATCTTTGATTCCCCAGATAATATGGGAAAGTATGGGAAGTGTGGGGGAAGACAGAAAACCAGAAAATATGGGAAAATGTGGGGAACATTTTTTTATTTGTGTGTATTTCTTTGTGTGGCCCAGGCCCGCCGTGGCCCGAAACGCCCCCCTTCGATCCTCGTGATCGCTTTCCGTGCGGTGGCTCGACGACGGCAGATTTTGCCTCCCACGCTCGCTTTGTGCGGACGTGCGACTGGTCGAAGGATTGCAAAAAACCAAGGATTGCAAAAAACCCGAAGGATTGCAAAAAACCCGAAGGATTGCAATCCTTGTTTTTTTTGCAATCCTTCGGATTTTTTGCAATCCTTCGGTTTTTTGCAATCCTTCGGGTTTTTTGTAATCCTGCTTTCAAGCGATCAGCGCCACTTCGCGTGCTCGTCCGCTGAGGCTCTGGCCAGGACGACGCAGGTATTCCCAGAACATGTTGCTGGGCATGCTCGGAGTGTTCTCGTTTCGTTACGCGCGCCTCGTGAGTGTGTATCGTGCTCCTGTTCGAAGCGCTTCTGGCAATGTCGAGTCTTTTGAATATGTGCTAGCCTTGCAGCTGCCAGAGTGCGGCCACCAGGTGTTCTTTCAGGATTTCACAGATATGGACAAGTTCTACTGCACCAGCGCCTTCAGCGGGGACCCCGAGTTCCGGAAGGTCGGACATGAGAGAAGGAGGTGGCGGAGGACGATATCCAAGACGTTGAGCGCCACCGTCGCGTTTTGAGTGGTGCAGAACTCAGATGCAGCGAAGCAGGTTTGATCCTTGTGTGTCAGGGAAGCGCCGGGCGAGAGGAGCCTCGAAGAGGTCTGGAAGCCGGGCGGGCTGCGCAGCCCAGCCAGATGGCGCTGCCGCGCGACTCCGTCGTCGCGCTTTGGGGGGCGCCCGGGCCGGGGGGGGGGGGAGCACGGAGGTGGGGACGGCGATCCACGAAGTCGGTCGTGGGGGGGGGCGGCGACCTTGTCAGATCACCCAGCGTTCTGACGCTCACGGCGCGCCTGCGGCGTGGTGGTCGGCGGCGCCCGCCGACACACCTGCAGCCACCTGCATGCTTCCGTCGCTCTCAGCTGCCATGGTTCCCGCCGACGGGGCTGGCCGCGCCAGCACACTCGGGTGCGAACTCTTCCGCCTCTGAGTGGCCTTCTCTTCTCCTCCCCCCCCGCGGCCGCCTGCCTGCCCTCTCCTCCTCCTTGCATGCTGGCCACTTCGCTTTCCGATGCCCCCGTCTAGCTCTTTCGCTGGTGCAGCCAATTCCGCCTCGCCGCCCACGGACAAAATGCTCCCGTCGCTCTCTTGGCCCGCTGCTTTCCCAAGGCAGCCCCCTAAAAACGGCTCCTGGCGCGGCCCGGGGACCGCCCGCGGCCGCCCAGACGTCCGACCGGGGACTGCGCGAGCTGCAAAGCCAGTCAGACGTTCGCAGATTGATGGGCCAGTCTTCCACAACCGCTGCTATAGGTAGGACGGAGGGGAAGGGAGGATGGGGAGGCCCTCCTCCTCGGCCTCCTTCTTCTTCTCCTTCTCCTTCTCCTCCTCCTCCTCCTCCTCCTCCTCCTCCTCCCTCTCCTGTGTATCTCCTGTGTTTGGTAGTGGTGTTGAACAATCGTCCCATCACAGGTGAGGGTGTGTCTTGCAAGTGCAAACGCCTTGCCTATAGTCCTGCCCCCCGCCTGTGACGTAAGATGTAGGCCAGCACAGTAGGATTCACATCAGTGCAGTAGCATGTGGGGCCGGGTTCTGAGACGGGTCGTCTGGCGTGCGGACGTGCGCTCACGGTCGCTCTGGCGCTCGCGCATCGGAGCCCGTTCGACTCGTGACCGAGTCGACTTTCACAGAGAATGCGCACCGGTCTTGGCACCCCACCGTGCGAGCACTTTGACCTTCTTCTTTGCATTCGGCTGGGTCTCCTTGGTAATCAGACGGAGCGCACAGGGGGGAAGAGGAGGGGAAGAGGAGGAGGTGGAGGATGATGAGGAGGAGGAGGAGGAGGAGGAGGCGGGAGGCGAGGAGGAGGACGAGGCGGGATGAGGCGGGAGGAGGAGGAGGAGGAGGAGGAGGAGGAGGAGGAGGAGGGGGAGGAGGGGGCTTGGCTTCGAAAAAGGCTGGGGGGCTTCTCAGAAGCTCCCGCCCTCTCACAGAGGCCGCCCCTCTCGCGCCGCCCCCGCGTGCGCCTCGTGGAGGAGTCTGCCTCGCTCCAAGGCAGTGGCCATTGTAGTGTTGGAGACGGCAACACCGTGCCACTGGTTCGGCGGTGAAGGCGACGACGGCGTGCGTCGAAGACGGCCACGGCGAAAATTCGGATGAACACGACGATGACGATGGCGATGACGACAGCGACGATGATGATTGTGAGGCTGCGGGTTGTGATGGAAATGGTGGTTGTGATGGTGATGATGGTGGTGATGGTGATGATGATGCTGATGATGATGCTGCTGATGATGATGCGGATCATGCTGATGATGCTGATGATGATTATATTTATCATGATGATGCTGATGATGATGTTGGCGATGATGATGCTGATGATGATGCTGATGATGATTATTATGCTGATGCTCATGCTGATGCTGCTGCTGCTGATGATGATGATGATGATGATGGCGATGATGAATATGCTGCTGATGATATTGACGGTGATGATGATGCTGATGCTGCTGCTGATGATGATGATGATGCTGATGCTGATGCTGATGCTGATGCTGTTGTTGCTGTTGATGATGATGATGATGATGATGATGATGATGATGCTGATGATGCTGATGATGCGGCTGCTGCCGCTGCTGCCGACGAGGATGATGACGGTGATGATGATGCTGATGCTGATAATGATGATGCAGATGGTGATATGATGATGATGATGATGATGATGATGATGATGATGATGATGATGATGATGATGATGATGATGATGATGATGATGATGATGATGATGATGATGATGATGATGAGGCTGAGGCTGAGGCTGAGGATGCTGCTGCTGCTGATGATGATGATGATGATGATGATGATGATGATGATTAGGATGCTGATGATGATGATAATCGTGATGCTGCTGCTGATGATGCTGCTGCTGATGATGCTGATGATGATGCTGCTGCTGCTGCTGCTGCTGATGATGATGATGATGATGATGATGATGATGATGATGATGATGACGATGATGATGAGTGTCTTATAACTCCTTACACCCTGTCCCTTGTGGCCCCTAAATCGTACTGTGACGTACCAGTGCAGGGTACTGTGTGTGGAGTTTGAATGGTCAAGTCTCCAACATCTCCCTACCGTCTCCCCGAGCTCCTTGGGGTCTGCGATGGCGAGGACGACGATGAAGTCCATGACGTTGGCCCGAGCCCTTGCCTCATCGTTAGTCTTCAGCCTCAGCCCCTGCACCAGCTCCAGCCTCGGCCCCAGTCCGAGGCCTTGTCCCACCCGAAGCCTGAGGTCCAGCCTCGGTTTCACTTCGCAATGATGCAGGGGAGAGATCGAGTCGGAGCAGCCAACTCCTGAAGCGAGGTCTAGTGCGTGTGGTCAGAAGAGTAGTTTTCGATTTCTTCTGGGTTGAGATTGGTGGTGCGACGGCAAATGGGGGCCCCAGAGACGACGGCAGCGTTTCTACGGGATGCGCGTTCGAAAGAGCACGCAGGTCTACACCGAGATCAGCACGTTGCTCAGCAAGTTCGGGGGCGTCCCCTGCGAGCTTCTCGGTGCCGCTGGGCCTACCTCTCAAGAGAAGGAGGAGCGCACGGAAGTGAGGGGGGTTTGGGATGGACTGGCGAACGGGGAGGAGGGGTGGAGTGGAGTAGCCGGGAGGGGCGGAGGTGAGGGGAGCGGAGGGGGGAAGGGGGGCAAGTTTTTGAGGAGAGGGAGTGGACGGTGGAGGGAGGGAGGGCAGGGAACCGTACGGAAGCGTGACGGGACGAGGGGGCGAGGTCCCTTTCTCCCCCCCCAGAGCCAGGGTCGGGGAGGTCCGCGTTCGGCAAGAATTGCTGCCATCGTGAAAGGCAGGCGCCCTGAACTCATCCATGTTTGGCGCGACGCTTTCCCTGATTGGCTACCTCGAGGGCACCCCCCCAAGCCCTTGCAAATCCCGTACACGTGCTGACGGCGATGTAGGTACCGGCGATGTGGGTTTCGGTATTGTGGGGACGCGCGGCTCGTGCTTTCCCACAATTCGTTGTGCCGTGTTCGCTCGATCCAATCGCATGTTGGAAGTGTGGGAAAGTGTGGTTTGTGATTTCCTACAACTTGGTGCCCAAGATCACCGTTACGCAACATCGCCGTTAACCCGGCCGTGGAGATCTGTGGCCTGCTGCGCCGTGTGCCCTCTGGTCTTTCGGCGCCGCCCCTGGCGCACTCCGCATGCCAGGGGGGAGGGTCCAGCGTTGATTCAAGAAGTTCGCGCGGGCTCCCTCTACAGTGCCGTTTTTAATACATGCTCCGCGTGCGGATCATGTATCAAACATGCAGGGATTTAGTATTAAAAACAACGATGAGTTCTTACATACATAAATTAATCACGTATTCAAATCCTATATGAAACAATCCGATGTATTAAACACTGCCCTGTACTGTCCCAGTCCCATGCCCCCGACGTCGTGCTTTTTCGCAGCCACGTCCGCAGGGCCAGCATCTCATCCTGCTCTGCTTTTGGCGGTCCCAGGGCACGGCGGCAGGGCCTCCCCGATGCCAGAAAGGGCCAGGTGCCCCACGCTGTGATGCACCTAAAGTGCCGTTTTTGGTACATGCTCCGCGTGCGGATCCATGTATCAAACATGCAGGGATTTAGCATTAAACACAACGATGAGTTCATGCAGAAATTTATTCATAGATTGATCATGAATTAAAAATCAAATAGTTAAAAAAGTCCTATGTATTAAAAACTGCCCTGTACGTGTCGAGGGGGTCTGAGACCCGGGGTGGAACATCCCACTCCGAAGCTTGCCTGGTGCGAGTCCTGGTCAGAATCGCAAGGCGGATCCCGCCGTGGCGACGAGGAGCTTCCCCGAGGCCGCAAAGCAGCGCAGACCTTCCAAAAACCTCGGGCCTTGAACCTCGAACCTCGAATCTCGAACTCCGATCTGACTCCTCGGTTTGCGGTCTTCGGTCGCAGCTGTGCGCCTCCTCTAATTCAGTCGCAGGGGGTCGTTCGGGGATCTTTGGGGATCGCTGCTCCTCCCCAGTGCTATTTTTCCTCCCTCCCTCCTTCCGACCTGGCTTGAGCCACGCTTGGCCTCTTCAGTTGAGTCAGCACGCGTGCACACAGCTGTCCCTCGGCCAGCAGCCAAAGGAGGAGGAGGAAGGAGGAGGAGGAGGAGGAGGAGGAAGAGGGGCACCGTTGACATTCAAGCTGGACGACGTGCAGAAGATCCAGCCAGAGGCTGACGCGCGCGCGTCAATATGGCGAAGCCAAGACATGCCCGCCGCGGGGGGCCTCGCCGTGGCTGGGGGTGCTTCTAGCCCCGACCTCGCCGGGGCGACGAGGAGGCGCTGCGCAGCGTGGGGGGCCGCGTGCCTCCTCCTCCTCCTCCTCCGCCCCCTCCCGCCTCCTCCTCCTCCTCCTCCTTCCTCCTCCTCCTCCTCCTCCTCCTCCGTAGCCATTTTGGCTCAAGCCCTGTTCCCCGCTTTCTCCGCTGCCTTTTCGCCCATGGTCGGCGGCTCGGTGGCGGCGGCGGCGGGCGCGCCTTGGATGGCCGGGGGGGGGTGCCCGCTGATGTGGCGGCCCAGTGTGATCAGGATCATGGAGACGGACTCCCTCGGCGCTTCCGCGGCGAGGCGTGCTGCTCGGCGGCGCGGTCGCGCGGCTCTTGAAGCAGCACTGCGGCCGCTGGTTGCGGCGCGGGGCGCCCCGGGCTCGTGGGTGGACCGCGAGCGTGCGTCGAGGCCGGCTTTGCAGAAGATTGCAGCAGGGGATCGTGTACCTGGTGTGGTGCGGCTCAGGCGGAACACTGCCTGGCATGCGCGCCGCGTGCCGCCTGGCGGGTTCACGGCGGCTTCCTCGGCGGCGCTGTCCTGGGCTGCGGCTGGTCCCCATCTGGGGCATGCGGCGAGTGGCGTGCGGGCTGAGGCCATGCCGTTCGAGCCGCGGGCGGCCTGCCGAGTCGTGGGCGTGCGCTGCAATTGCGGTGCCACAGTGTTCGCGCCGAGCCCGCCCCCTGCTGTGCAGATGCCGCGCGTGACGGAGTCCGACGAAGGCACCGAGCAGTGCGAGAGCGGGGACGTGGACTCGGAGTTGGCTGGGCGGCGCATGGCTCAACCTGTGCAGGGGGAGGCGACGAGCGTCGACGAGGCTGCCGAGGAGTTCGCGGAGCCGCAGGTCTCGCAGGCGCCGATGCCAGGCGCAGACGTGACTGACTCCATGATCAGCGGGAGCGAGAGCGTGGACGTGGACTCGGAGGTGGCTGCTCGTTGCGTGGCTCATCCTGAGCCGTCGCGGAGCTCTGGCACGGCGGTGGCGTGCAGCTACCCTTGTGATGCACGGCGTTGGACGTCGGCCGAGGGTGCGGTGTCGGATGCCTCCTACGCGGCGCAGGGGGAGGCTCGCGGCGGCGCTGTCGCTGAGGAGTTCATGGGCGCGCAGGTCTCGCTGGCGCCGTGTGCAAGCGCTACGCTGGGCGACGGCGTCTCGGAGGCTGTCGCGGTGCCGAAGAGGAAGGGTCGCTGTCGGGAGCTGTTCGAGAAGGCCGAGCGGGACGGCACTTCCCCCTTCTCTCCCGAGGTCATGGCCCAGCTTCTCGGCCGCAGGTGACGCTGCTCTACTTCGGCGTGTCCGAGGGCCTCGTCACGGTCGGGGGGTCAGGGCTGGTCAGGTCCAGCCTGGGCCCCCCGCGGGCGCACGTGTGTGCACTTCTCAGCCATTTCAGCCATTTCCTCCTCCTCCTCCTCGTCCTGTTCCTCCTCGTCCTCCTCCTCCTCGTCCTCCTCCTCCTCGTCCTCCTCCTTCTCCTCCTCCTCCTCCTCCTCCTCCTCCTCCTCCTCCTCCTCCTCCTCCTCCCCCACTCCTCCCTGTCGCACCCCGCGGCCAGTTTTTAGGGCGGGCCGGGCGTTTCGCCTGAGACTTCAGTACCACTTATGACCCTGAAGTTTAAGAAATGACAACAGTTTCACAGATGGAGGGCGGCTGTCAAGATGTGGCTCTCGCCTTGGCGCCGCGCGCATTCGTTTTAAACATTTGCAAGAGTTTTACGGATTGAGGGCGGGTGGTTTTCAAAATGTGGCTCTCGCCTTAGCGCCGCGTGCATTCGTCTTAAAACATTGCGAGAGTTTCACTGATTGAGGGCGGGTCGTTTTCAAAATGTGGCTGAGAGATGTGCCGCCGGCATGTAAGCATTGCTCTTCTCCTCCCCGCTCGCCCCGCTGCTTCCGCTGCCGTGGAGGGAGATAGGTCGGAGGAGCACGGGGCGAGGTAAAACAACATTCCAGAGCTGGCGGAGGCCGTCAGCCTCGAGGCTCCCGGGCAAAGATACGGAGCTGGTGGTGTTTCGCCGTGGTGGGTTGGGGGTGTCTGGGTTCCGAGGCGGGGTGGCCCCCCCGCGGCGTGCTTCATTTCTTCGCACTTCAGGATTCCATTCGCCGTTGCAGCCCCCTGCCATTGTTCCGTCAATTCTCCTACTTCTCGGGTTTCCCTCCTCGTCCTCATTATTTTTCTTCTTTTTCTTCTTCCTCCTCTTCCTTATTGTTCATCGACACTGTGCAATGGCAGAGGCCGAACAGCAATGGAATGAACCGCTGAGCCGTAAAGATTCTGGTTTGGATAGGGGATGGCAATGCAGACTGGACCCGAGAATGGAATGCAGAAAGTTCACAGAAGTGATCATCGAAAAACGCGACGCGATATCGAATGATCAGTCGGATATAATTCGCCGGCTAGGTGAAGTCGAGTCCCACAGTTTACGTGCACATGTGCTGCCCAATCAACGTTGTCAGCAGCCCGTACCACTGGAGCCAAATTTGGCAGTACAGGGGACAACTTGGTATGTTGATGTACCCCACGTTGAGTGCGTCGAGAAATTCGTCGAAGTTCCTAATCTTACACTTGTGGAAAAGGTTATGGAGCAGTCAGGATGCATGCCAAACGCTCGTGGC